CCTTGGTGTCCTCCGGGGCGCCCTCTAGTCGGAGGGTGCCAAAAGCAGCGGCATGACCCTCAATAGCCTGGCTGATACCGCGGTCTTTGGAATAGAGCTGCATGGCGCCAACAACGCGGCCCTGCTGTTGTGAGATACCGACAACGACCATCCACTTTCCGTCGGCGCTGGTCCGATAATTAATTATTTGGTTGCCCTGGAGATTAGCATTACGATCGAAGACCTTGACCGGAGCGGGCTGGTTCGGGTCGAAGACATCCCAATGGTAGACAGAGCCATCTGTAATCAAACCAAGCGTGGTCTCGCTAACCCACTTCCAGAACAAGACATCCTCGCTCATGTTTGTCGACTTGAGCTTGGCCTTGTTTTCGAGGTCGAAAATCTGGAGTGTGCGCGCCTGAGCCTTGAGGGCAATTACTTGGCGCGTCCAGTGCATTATGGCACTGTCGGCCTTAATGGGACGTCGGATAACATTGTTGCCGTTCTTGAGATCGACGATGATGACTTCAGGGGACGCTGCCTCGTCCTTCTTGTCGCGAATACACACCCAGTTGTCCGATTCTAGGGTCTGGGAGCGGGGGGTTCACGTCAGCAGGGGTACCAGAGGAGGCGCGACAACTGTCACCAGCAGGGTCAGAGCAAGGTGAGGACAACGTACACAGGTGTTGAAAGTGATGGCGGTCTGGTTGATGCCGAGGGCGCTGAGTTGCAGCAGCTCCTGGAATTTGATGGGTAGGGCCTGAGCCATGATGGGCGGTGGTGTTGCGCTAAGCTGCGCGCAGAGTGACGAAGATTAGCAGCCAACTTATCAAAAGCGGCTGGAAGGTGAATCCGCTGGGAAGTAGAAAGATTGGGGGAAATGGAGGCTCGTGAAGCTCCGTGGACTGAATGGAATAGCGGCGAAGTGAAAGGAGGCGGTGGTGGTGGTTGGTTGTACTTTGGGGGAAAATGACTGAGCTCCCGAGAAATGGGGAGGGGGAGGGAGAGGACGGATGAATCAGGTAGGTAGAGGTAGGTAGGAGGTTGGAAGTGGAAGGATTAACCCCAAGGTCCAGAAGGCAGGTACGCAGTAAAACCCGCCGCCAAACTGTGGGTGAGAGGTGAGTCGCGATTTGCCGCTCAGTTACAGATACGTAAAGTAAAGGCGGGCAGGTACCTCGATGTCACCTCACTTCAATGCTCCAGCAGAAAGAATAGAGAAGAATCGCGGTTGTTGAAGGACGCAAAGCAGCAAGAGGAGACGTCGTTTGTTACGGGCAGTTACTACCGTGAGAGATGAAAGATACAGCAGGAAAGATGAAAGGTGCTGAGGTGAGATGCCTCTCCAGCTGTCCAGTGTGTTTGTACATGCCGCAACCGTTCAGTGCAGACGGAAGGTACCTCTAGTACCTCTCAGGTTACCTGCCTGCTTTTGAGTGATGTGTTAACACGGGACCTCGCGGCCGGGGCATCCACCGCCCACCGGCGCCGGCTCCATTCAGTGCTTCCCCCTGCGTCGGGTGCGCCTAGACCAGGCGGCAGGCGCCTGCCCGGGAGGCCTGCCTGCCCCCTTCGCTTCAAGCTGTCCGCCCGGTCCAGGTTGCCCGCCCTTATCCCGTCATCCTTCTACTTTCCTCAGGTTTGCCCGCATTGATCGCCTCCTGCGAGATCCGTCAGACGGTCCTTCCATTTCCTAGGTACCTTACCTCTAGGCCGCCTGCCTCCGGGGGCGCCGTTCATGCCGGGCTCCAGGGGCAGCTGTTCCCTACTCCAGAACAGCCCAGCTCCAGGGGTAGCGTCAGCTGTTGCTACAGGGATTCTGAACTTGGCCCAGCTTGACTAATGTGGGGCACTGACCAATGGCTCACCTTTTGGGACCGCGGTGGGGTGGAACCCGATTTGAGGAAAGAGACTTGGCATTGCTATCGATAAGCTTTTTCAGAAAAGAAAATCGACCCGGAGAAATATCCACAAGCGCCTGTCGATGGTGGGCTATCGGTGTTCAAACCAACCCCAACAACATTCCAATCACCACCAGACGACCAGCAATACCATCAAAATGGGTGTCGGGCGTCGCATGCAGAAACAGGGCCCTCCTGAGCCCCTCTCGGAGGAGCACTTTGCCAACCTCAAGCGCAAGAAGGGCATCCCCTTTGACGAAACCACGACCGAAGTAGACACTAGAAGATCCAAGAAGCAGAAGATTGTCAAGAAGCAGCCCAAGACATCCGGTTCCAACACTGTCGCAGTCAAGGGCGCCAAGAAGGAGGTCAAGGAGGTGAAGAAGACTGGCACAAAGCCCGCCCACAGGTCCAAGGAGTCCAAGAAGTCTAAGAAGGCAAAGCAGCCTTCGCCCGATCATGACGAGGAGATGGACGACGAGTTTGGCGCGTCCGACCTGGAGGACCTTGATATCGACGGCGATGAGATGGACGTTCAAAAGCTAGGAGACGATTTCCTCGGCACTGACGACGACTCGGTTTACGATTCCGACCAGGACGGTGCTACCAAGAAGGAGGCATTCGTCTTCTCTGACGATGAGGATGACGAAGAGGATAGAGAGGAGAAGCTCACAGCCGCCAACATTGAGGGTCTTTCGAGGAAATTGGATATGCAAAGAGAGAAGGAAGCAGAGGAGAACGAGGCCGAAATGCGCGACGAGGCGCTCCAGACCAACATCGCTGGTGGTGATGACCTCGGTGATGACGACGACCAACTTCAGACCAAGACCAAAACTTTGCTGGCGCCCGATCTCCAGATGTTGAGGACGAGGATAACAGACGCCATCCGTATCCTGGACGACTTTTCGAATTCGGCGGAAGAGGGCAAGAGTCGCGCCGAGTACACCAGCCAACTCATCAAGGATATCTGTGCCTGTAAGGACCCGATGCTCCTTGCGCAGTACTTCTCGTGAAATGCACAAATGTTAACTTCAGGGTTTGCCAGACTACGGTTACAACGAGTACCTCGCTGAAAAGCTTTTGTATGTTTTACAACCTGTCGCATGCCTGTCTGCGGCGATACCACCAGTGGGGAAACTGTCTGACTGTTTGTAGCAACCTGTTCCCTCCCAGAGAGGCGTTCGCCTTTTTCGAAGCCAACGAGAGTGCCCGCCCCGTCGTTATCCGTACAAACACCCTCCGAACACATCGCCGCGATCTTGCTCAAGCACTCATCAACCGCGGTGTCACACTCGAGCCTGTAGGCAAGTGGTCCAAGGTCGGTCTGCAAGTCTTTGACTCGAAGTACGTATATTCCAAACCAGGACTACAACGACCCGATACACGCAAATGGCTAACAACTTGGGCATAAAGCGTTCCCCTCGGTGCCACGCCTGAGTATCTGGCTGGTCACTACATCCTCCAGGCCGCCTCTTCGTTCCTGCCCGTGATGGCTCTCTGCCCCCAGGAGGGTGAGCGTGTTCTCGATATGGCCTCTGCCCCCGGTGGCAAGACCACCCATATGGCGGCGTTGATGAAGAACACCGGTGTGATTTTTGCGAACGATCCCAGCAAGCAGCGTGCCAAGGGTTTGATCGGTAACATTCACAGACTGGGCGCGAGGAACGTCATCGTATGCAACTACGATGCGCGTGAGTTCCCCAGGGTCATGGGTGGCTTTGACAGAGTCTTGCTCGATGCCCCATGCTCGGGTACTGGTGTCATTGCCAAGGATCCCTCTGTCAAGACCAACAGAGACGAGAAGGACTTCCTGCAGCTCCCCCATCTCCAAAAGCAGCTTCTCCTGGCTGCTATCGACTCGGTTGACCATGCCAGCAAGACTGGTGGTTACGTTGTCTATTCGACGTGTTCCGTTGCCGTTGAGGAAAAGTGCGTTTTCCATATCGTCCTTAACTGTTCACTTTCAGAAGACGCTAATACAAGATCGCAAACAGTGAGCAAGTCGTTGCCTATGCGCTCAGCCGCCGTCCCAACGTCAAGCTCGTTGAGACTGGTTTGGCTTTCGGCAAGGAAGGCTTCACAAGCTTCATGGGTAAATCGTTCCACCCTAGCCTCAAGCTTACCCGCAGATATTACCCCCATCTTTACAACGGTACGTTTCGCCTCCCCATACCCCATTTCCTTCCCTCCCATCCTTCATCACTAACACAAACCTCTAGTCGACGGTTTCTTCGTCGCCAAGTTCCAGAAACTCGGCCCCACGCCCGCCACTGCTGTCCGCGCCAACGGCGTCGACAAGTCCAACAAGCCTCTGGACGGCCAAGCTTCCCAGGAAGCCCAAGAAGTCGTCGACAAGACGCCCATTGGTGCCGAGTGCGAAGCCCAGGATGACTTTGGCGGTTTTGATGATGGTGAGGACAAGGAGTACATGGAGCGCGCTAAGCGCAACGCTATGCGCAGGAGAGGCTTGGATCCTAGGGCTCTTAAGAAGCCTGTTGGTAAGAAGGGGGAGAAGAAGACTGAGGAGTCGTCCAAGGAGGGTGCTAAGGAGCAGGCTGCTGAGGTGACTGAGAAGATTGAGAAGCTTGAGGTTGTTGAGGAGCAGACTAAGACGGTTGATGCCAAGGCTAAGAAGGAGGCGGTCAAACCCACCAAGAAGGTTGAGGAGAAGCCCAAGGCCACCGCCGGTGCCGCCACGCCGAAGAAGGCTGGCGACAAGAAGAAGAAGGTGGCTAAGAAGTAAAAGGGAAGGGTTGTAATGATTTATCCGTCTGTTTTTTGCATTGTTCAATATACTTGGGGCTTAGGAATACCAACCAACTAACAGAGCCTTTATGTTCCTATAGATGTCGACAACAAAAGTTAATCCGGGTCGAGAATAATCTTCTGCTTCATTATGATGCGCATCTGGGCAATAATTGTGACCTTGAAGTCCAAATGAAAAAAGGTGAAAAAGTAACGTCTAGAATACTTCAAATTAACTATGTATTTGTCATTATCTTGATTGGGTATCGCACATCGTCTTTTCATTCATTCATACATAAATGCCCGCGCCCTTGCGCCTTTTGAATTTTCCTAACCTCATGCCCTAGTGAATTGCCGACCAGAGAAGATGATGTTGCGTAGATGAACAGAAATGATGAGAGTTTCGACAGCTTTGTCGATATCCCCACAGGACCTTAATTGTAAGGCCAGGCAGTATCTTTAATTCTCTCTTGTTTGTTGGATAATTTCGAAAACATGTGACCCTCTCTGTTCGAGGACAAATGGTGATAAGAAATTCTCGGGTCTTAACGCACGAGCAACTGTCGACTGACCACTGGCACGATCTTATCGTCATCCAGGGTGCACCTCCACGTCCCGTCTCCCCGTTTCTCTTTGTGATCCGTATAGGTATCGAGTGCCAGATTCACCAGCGCTTCGGCATCCTTGCGGAGCTCCTTCAGCTCCTCTACGCTACTTCCGCTTATGGTAGCGGCATTGTGCGGCAGGCGATATGCCGCAAATACAATTCCGTGGTTCTTGGCGCCACCATGCCTGCCTGCCTTCTCGCCAAGCACGCTGAAAGGACCTGGGTAAGTACAACCAGTGTAGAACGAGCAGCTATAACCTTCAGCGAATTCATTCTCAGCCGCATCGTCGCTGCGATATTCCAACCAGTGATCAGATTCGAGAATCTTGCGGTGAACCGGTGCTGAGATACGGAACGGGCTCATGAGAGAATGTAGCCCGTACGCGGCCAACAAACGACCAGTCATACTTCGATATTCAGAGGGTAGCGGAAACAGCAGTCCGAGGTTTTCCTCTGTCGACGTGGCGGAAAACGATGCGCTAGGGGACGAAGGAGAGTTGAGAAGGGTTGTGGAGGTCGAAAGCGATGACATGGATGACCTCTTTGAGAAACCGGTGGACTGGATAGAGCCATTCCGACTGGGCCACAGGTTGACCACATACACAAGGTCAAAGTGATATTTTGACGCAATTCGAGCAGCTTCAAAGGCTGCTGTAGTAGCAGGCTTGCTGGCCAGAGGAGGGGAAAGTGTCAACAGGGGGTGATCGCTCACCATGTGCGGAGAGGAAATTGAAGCGAAACGATTCAGCGGCAGATCGTAGCTTGATGACCCCGAAGACGTTATGTAACTTGTCTGCGACAGCGATTGCTCGTTGGCAAGATCATCAGCGATATCATCATCGCTAAGGGCCAAGAAGTCATTGAAGCTGGGTTCCCGGAGAATGGTGTTGATCCTGATGGAAGGGGCAGATCTTTCTGTGCTAAGGCCGCTGACAGGAGTCTTCAACTCCGAGACGGGCTTTTTACAGACAAGTGTCGCAGTCCGACTTGGAGGGCTTCTCGACGGTGACAAGGTAATTTCATGCAGCCCGTTGGGTTCTGGAGCAGGGAGCGGGATCAGTCTTGGAGAGGCAGCCGGAGTAAGATGCCCATGCGAGAGAGACGTCGGTGACAGGGAAAGCATTGAATCACAAGATTTATGTTGCTGCGCTAATGACAAAGGCGTCTGCAGATGTGTGTGGATGTGTAGGCTGGGATGGCGTTTCCTGCCTGGCTGCGCTCGCGGAGAAATCGATATGGAAGTCGAGCGTGAAGGTGACTTGTGACCGGACCTCGAGCGGCGCATAGATAAAGCAGATAGCTCAGCGTGGCTCCTTGTAGAGCGACCGGAAAAACTGAACTCAAGAAGTTCGGCTAAAGAGGCGTCCATTTGTCTGCTGACTAGGGAAGAAGACCGCTGGGGTACTGAAGGGCCCTGAATGCGCCGCCTGGGGGTAAATTCTGTTCTGAGTCCATGCTCGGAAGTCGAGAAGGATGGACTATAGAGATCGCTTGGGGATTCGGGGAGGCTCTTTGTGCGTCGGGCACTTTGGCGCGCCAATGTTACCTCCTCCCTAGCCAGCATGCGAGTTGAGGTCGGTCTGATGAAGGATGGCGTTGGAAATTTTTGGATAGTTGGAGCTGAAGCCGAGTGCGAAAGCGATGTGAAAGGTCCACTTTCAACAGCGGCCGACTTGCGCGGCGATAGCTTCCTCTTTCTGTGGAAAAACCTCTCCAACCGGTCCAGCCTCTTCTCGAGGCGGTCCATTCCCATCGACATTGAACCAGTTGTAGTGGTTGATGATATGGCTAGGTGATAGCGGTCAATTCGAGGGTCGCTCCGGGGTAGGCAAAGTTGCGCACCGGCAAGGAAGAGGTTGTTTTGGATTAGCTTCTCTCAAGCTAGCTAAGAGAAGGTCTGAGATGTTCGGGGTCTAGGTTTGGAGTGGTGAATAAAACTTTCCACGGAAAGACATGGAGACTTTGCAAGGAGGGGTGGGTTTTGAGCGGGACTGGAGGGTATATTGCGGGTTTGAGATTGTTGTAAACGGCAAATGAGGCGCGGATGAGATGTCACTAGGACGGAGGCCTGGTGGTTGAGTCCTGGTAGTACGGTGTTGCGGATTTGGTGTGGATGGTCATTCCGGTTTGGTATGACGGTGATCGTACAACGACTTGGAAGTGTGGTGTTTCGATTACACCAGAGAAAGAGGAAAGCAGCGGCGGTTTTGTTTGTCGTCCTCCTCGAGGTGGAAGGTAACTGTGTTGCCTGGCAGTTGAGACAGACTGGAAAGAAAGTCAGGTTGGTCTTAGACTTGTTGTGTTCCCCAGATGATGCTGAACTCTCGAGCAGGAAAATCAGGCCGGGTGGAAGGGGAGGCGAGGTGATATAACTAAGGAGTTGACTCAGAGCCACAATGGAGAAAAAGAAAACTACCAGTGGGTATCAGGTCCAAAAGGTATCCCGTTTTTTGCGAACAAAGTGAACAGGTTAGCCCAATTGAGGAAGAAAGTATGGCCAAGTGAAGAGGAGGGGGAAGGGGTCAAATACTCGGCAAGGGATATACCAAGGGAAAGTGCGACTCAACATCACACCCCACATTACTACTTTGAGATGGAAGGAAGTTACCCATTCACACTGTAAAATAAAGAAAGAGAACGAGAAAAAAGTAAAGGAAGGAGCGAGGTGATAGTGTCATAATTCCCGTCAGAAGGCCATACCAGCTGGGAACCGGGAGAGACGAATCAAGCACACCACAACATCTCGTGCATTTGTTCTTGGTAAGATTGAAAACCCGTTCGTGTTCGAAAAAGAAAGCCTTGCCCATTGATTGAGACCACTGGGACTCGAGTCAGCCAAACGGAACGCTCTCCATTGTGACTTCCCACCTTGTTTACTCCCGCAGCCATCGTTGCTTATTCCAGTAGAATGGGAGCTAATATCAGAACATCATGGTGCCAAGACGATGAGATCCCAAGAGGCGTTCGGTTCAGCAGAGCCAGGCTCGCCTGTTGGTTTTCTGGGACTACTTGGAAACGGCGCAAAGAGGGGTCAAAGGAGAAGAAGGAAAAAAAAAAAAAAAAAAAAAAAAAAAGGAAAGAGAACCCCGAAATTCGTGATCTGGGTTATGGGGGTAAACGACGACGGGAGTGTAATCCATACCGTCCACTTGCTCGTCTGTACGTAGATGTACGTAACTAAGTGTAGCATCAGGCTAGGCCCGGCTTGTTCAGAAAGCCAAACTTGGATAGAGCAAAACTTTGTCCCATGTTAGGACCTCGCTCACATCCAACAACGGCGACAGGATGGATGCTGAGTTGATGATGGAAAAGCCTAGTATCCCTGCACCTGCTCTCCCTGCCAGTGGCTCCCTCTTATCCTCGAGATAAGTCATAAAAGCTCTTATTGCGGTTTCTTATACTTATCCTTGACACAAGGTTTCAGCGGAGAGGACTGAAATCGGAAGCTTCAGGTTTTCGCGTCTGCGCATCTGGTCTGACAACTTGTTGGGGTTCCATATTTGGGCGCATGGTAACTTTATTGCTCAAATCCGCAGCTCGTCAGAGATCAGTCGGATATCGCGACTCGATCTGACCCACAAGCCTGTGCCAGTACAGTAGAACATTGAGCAGTGTCCGGGTGCAAATGGAGATCGTCTAACTCGAGTGTTGGTCGGTTCGGCTGTGCGAGGTCAATGAGTGAGGTGAGGTTAAATTTCACGTCCAGAGCAACCTCCCAAGGCTAGGTGCACGGGCCACAAATTCAGGTACATACATACACTGTATACGGCGTAACAAGGGGACCTGGACGACAATGCTGTGTTGGTAGCGCTGAACAGGGATGAGAACCCATGTCATTTGAGAACCTTGGCGTACTTGAGCTAGCTAGCAGCTGGAAGGAAAAGCTGAGAGGCTGATGAGAGCAGAGCGAATGAATTGCTTGCCTCCTCTCCAAGCTGCCCCCCCGAGGTTCATCTCGAGAGCATTGAATTCAGGATGGAAGCAGAACGGGTGCCCCGTGCTCCCTCCCAGACTCGCAGGCGGAGGGAAGCGGCTCCATAGAGCAAACTAGTGCCTCTCTAGAGCTTGAAGTGACATGCGCTTCTGACTGGATGGTAGCTTACTGCACGTAAAAGTCGTTTGGTTTCCTACGATAAACTTCTTAGAGAGCTAGAGAGCTTGCACGAATTCCATACCTTCAAACTCGCAGTGAGATACTTGCTTAGTGTAGAGGTAGTGTACATAGAGGTAGCTAGATACCTCGCCTCTCGCTACTATCAAGGGAATTGAACTCCCCCGCGCAATGACGGCGCCAAACCCCGCATTCACCCTTGATCTGCGGCCCTGGCAGGCAGTGCCCGTCGCCCTGATTAGCGACTCCACTTGCCCGAGGGCCACAGCCAATGCAGATGGGGGCCAGTTGGGTCACTTGCAGTTGGCAGACCTGGCAGACAGGAACGTTGGACATTTGAGTCCTGTCAACGAGGAAAGGAAGCCATGCAGTCATGCCCTGGGATCGTCCGTCGATGCACGCACGTCACCTCGTCCGATGAAGTCTTTTGGCCTTTTCGTATGCCTCTACCTACTGGCGGTTTCTGGTTCTTTACACAACAATGACCTCGGAGAAAGGGTTACCGTCAAGTACGAGATTGTAGATACCTATGTTCGTTCGTCGTTGCAATCGGCAAGGACTCGAATGGATATCGAGACATTACGGCGACTCACAGATCAATGCAAGCCTCGACGCCGAGCAGGAAGGATCCTTTGCTCCCCCCGTTCATCCAAATACTGTAACTCTCGTCTCTCCATGCAGTATGAAAATTTTCACATCCCAGTCCGCGTCCCAGTGAACCGGAAATTCCTATTCGCCTTTAGGATATCATCTGCAGGCGGGCTAAGGATTGACTGTGCATCAATCGGAAAACTATCTATCAAAAGCAATGTTTGGATGTCAAGATTCGAGCCTCACTCTCAATACCCTACCAGTACACCACAAACAAGTCCCAAGGTTTGGCGCTGTTCCTTGGCTTTCCCGTTTGGCCCATCCCCCTCCCCCTCCTCCTTCCTTCCTCTCATCCTTGAACTTCTCGTCCACGCTTTCCGATGTGACAGCTCAACGAGAGCTTGTTGGATAGCCCACCCACCCGGCCGCTCCGATCAGTCAGTTTCGCTCTCCCACATTGTGAGCATACTGTATATGTAGTCCAGCTACTTAACAGGGAGCGGGGGACGGAATGACATGGAACTTTGGTTTTGCCTCCCCAGGTCATGCGTTTTAACAAGTTGAGCTACAGGATTGCATCATACACCAACGTCCGGCTCCCAAGTGCACACACCCGACTTGATATTCTCCAGTCTCCAGCGAACAGGACTTTCCTCAGTGTCTTCCCCCCAGCTTCCGGGTTCTCAGCCAGACTCCTCTCAACTCAAGACCAACCTGGAACACCGATCATTCAGGTCTCGGCCATAGCCCCTTCGCTCATTTCTGTAGAGGTAGTCGTGTAACCCGGTGTGTAACCATGGAAACAGGCCGGGGCCCTTTTCGCTTGACACCAGGACGAGGAACACTATGTGGTAGGTCACGGTGTCAAACCAAACCCAGCATGAGTTGGATTCAACCCCACGGCTCCTCGTGACACGACCGTTATGCGTTTGTTCCTGCCAGTGTGGGTGGGAAGAACTAACCCCTTCCCGCCAAACAAATGCGGCCTGGATGCAGTTCATCCATCCAATGGCTGTACACAACGAACGAGCGAGGCCAAGCTCTGTTTCGAGACCAAATGTGAAAGGCGAATACAAACCGTGTGATTTACGATCACATCTCGTTGAAAACTCGAGTGTCTGTCTGAGGATGCCTGCTTTTATCGAGTAGCTTTGCTCGCATCTTTGTCGGCTTCGTATCTCAGGGGGAGGGGGGGCAAGACAATCAATTCAATCTAGAAGATTTTCCCCTTTATAAGCTGGCGACGCTTTATAATACTGTCCTAGACAGACAGATCTCAGGAAACTATGTTCACGAGGAGACATCCGAGCGACGTGTGTCTTGGTTTTCATTCTTTTACATCAACGGGATATGTAAGCATGCCCCAGCACAATAGATGAACTCGGTCAGGACCGATATTCTAGCCAAGGTTTGTCTGATCGAGGAGAGTGCGTAGTATGATACCATACGCCTAAATCCAGAACGCCGCCATGTCTAGGTAAGCCTCATCGGATGGTGGTAGATATCTACGTGTCGGGAACCGGCCGGTACAGTACGACAGCACAATCTACCTACTTTCGAGTCATGTAACAGAGGCGGGATGTATGTGCATATGTGGCATGTAGGAGCCGATGCTAGATGACATTACCTTGCTTGTAAGCAGGACAGAATTCAGAACGCAGTCCCACCTTGCCTATGTGAACGTGAACTATGCTTTGCTTTGCGGTACCTTCTCGCTCGCAGGTAGTTACAACATTGGTGTTGAAGCATTTGCATTACACAGCAAGCAAACCACTTCAGCTACCTACCTACCTACAATAGGAGTGTGTACATCCGAGGAGACAAAACCCTAGAGTCCCTGGTAACCTTGATGACTCGAGATCAGCCTCCGAAACTTCAAACTTTGCAATCATTGGAGCCGGGAAAAGATCTCTTGATTCCCGGGATCTCACTGTCATATCATGTAGGTGCAAGCCAAGTCACAATGGACCCTTCAGGGTCTCGAGAAACCTGCATACCTGCATACATTACATTTAGTGTCTACCATACAAAGTTTAAGTACACGTCTGGCTAATGCAATCAGCCTCCTTTTCCGAACGATCGTCCTGCAAGACATCCTCTCCTGTTCTTTGTCTCCAGTGTCGTCACCCAAGACCAAGCATGTTAATTGTGACTCTTATCGTTTTCCAGTCCAGTTCATACACAGTGGACAGTGGGTGGAGGCTTCGTTCGGGTCGGACAGTTGAAATTTTTTATATAATTGTTTTTATTTTATTTTTATTTTTTGTATTTTTTTCCTTTCCAAGCCATTGCCGACCCCTTCACTCGAAACTGAATGGTCGCTTGACCACTCTTTTATTTACTTACTCGACTTCCTACTCAAGTTCTTCACTGCCGTGGAGCATACTCTGAGGTCGATGACAGAGGACATAGTTCCAAGCTGAAAGCCCATCGTGACGACCACAGGAAGTTACCTAGGTTGACAGACGGAGTGACAGCGTTGGGGGACAGCCTCTTCCCGGCCGAGCCACAGCAGTGGGATATAGGATCTGGATACCCGCAGCAAAACCCGCAGGCAGCGCTTAACCCGCTTTTGCCTGTTCTTCGCTCCCGCGATCTTGCCATCTTTACGGGGGGCGGATAGGTCCGATAGGCAAGGTAAGGTTACTCTTGAGGCTGGCTGCACCTTTTGGTTCCTACACCTTCATACTCGATCTTGGGGATAGCCATGGTACGCAATAGGCATGTAGGTATCCCTAGGCAGGCCTCTTTTTCTTGAGGCGGAGGCGACGAGGGGGGGAGGGACGGGAGGCGGGAGGTGACGGTCGCTGGGTCACGGTAGAGACGGGTGTAACACACGATGCAGGAACTGGGTGTGATGCCAGTGCTGATGATATCCGTTGCCCCCTAACCCCCACACCCACAAGCTGTAGTTCTGCTGTTTCCACCTCGCTATGTGACTTCGTTATCTGTGACAGGATGGAGATGGATTCAACAAAATGCCCAATCCATGGGTTCACGGATAAAGGCCAAATACGAAAGCCGAAAAGTGAAGCCAGAACGACAGCCGGGGCAGTTGTGCTCGGCAATCGATTCGACCTACCGCGGCACTCGGAATATATCAGATGTAGCTCCAAAGAGGGAGGCAAGAATTGAGTCCCTGATTCCTATTTCCCGAGTTTACGGGATCTTGACAATTCTTTGGCTTTTCTTTTCTTTTTTGTCTTTTCTTTTTCTCTTTTCACAGTCCAGCCATAACCACCAATGACTTTACAATATTGACTCTTATACATAGGCGCGGGTGACAGAGGGTCGTTCAGCCATGTACAAGCCACCATGCAATAGGAAGCCAGGCCGTATTCAGGGGTAGTCACTCGCTTCAGGCATTGCTGGTGCGCCGCGGTTACCACCATCTTGGTAGCTTTCAACTTGTGATTTCTATGTAGCTTTCGTTATCTCATAACAGTTTGAAAGTCTTATCGTCCTGGATATCTTCGCTTAGGATTAAGTGGAAAGTAAAGCCATCTAGAGCTTCGCGTCAACCTCGCCAAACAGGTTCAAAAATGCTGTGTGTACTTCGTCTGTGAGATCGCTTGCTTGAAGACTGCGGCCCTTCTTGGCAAATGCCAGACGAGAGCATTCCTAGAGATAGATGTTAGCATCTGCCCGAGTATGACTAGGTATGGTCGATGCTGGGGGATATGAGGCGCAAAAGTACCCCGAACCATGAACGAAAAATCACAAACAACATGACTCACCCTCGTAATGGCGCTTCCACCAAAGACAGCCAAACCAATCAACTCCTCCTTGTTGAGCTTATGGCCATGATCCCAAAGATCTTCAAGATACGCCCTCCGCCAGCCCAAAAACGTGGCAATACTTCCCGTCAGCGTATCTCCCTGTCCACCACTCCTCTTCAGACCACCCTTCAAGTCTACCGTAAGCGTCACCTTGCCGTCGCTCAAGTAGTCCTTGGCTCCCTTCTGCACAACCATGACGCCGCCGAGCGCCTTAGCCAGCGCCTCCACCTTGGCCGTCTCGCCCGCCGTCTCCTCAGCCTTTTCCACCTCTTCGTCCACGCCGAGCGCTTTGGTCAGTCGTCCGAATTCGACCACGTTGGGCGTCAAGACGGCGTTGTCGTACCCCTTGATGAGAGACGGGTCCTTGGTCACCAGCAACAGGGCGTCGGCGTCGAGAACCATGGGAATTCCCTTCTCGCGCGCCGCGGTGATCACCTTAGCGCAAGTCTCTTGCATGAGAGGGTCGCGGCCAAGACCAGGACCGATAACGAGGACGTGTAGCCTGTCGAGCATGGGAATGATCTGGGCGGCTATCTGGGAAGGGTCGGTGTCAGGAGCGGACTTTGTGAGCGAGGGCGAGCTGCCGGAGTCCGATGAGCTGAGGGCCGGCGGGGAGGAGCGCATGAGTGGGTGGACCATGAGGTTGGGCGAGTAGGTTTTGATGACTTGAGCGGCGTTGGGAGTGCAGATTACGTGGGACTGTCGGTCCATGTTAGTCAGTCTCGGTACTGGCGATGTAGATGTGGGAGTTGGGTGGTTAAACTTACAAGATCAGCACCCAGTCTCGCACTTGCCATGGCGGAAAAGTAGGGAGCACCTGTGTAGTCCTCGCTACCGCCGATGACAGCTACACGACCAAGTTGTCCTATGATCGGGGAATTTCAAGTTAGCTACCTATCTCTAGTCCATCTTCCAGTTACTATTACCAAAGAGATTCTCCTATCCCCCCCGGGCCGCACGATGGTTGGAAATAGCTTCCCCGCAAGCCCAGAGCAACAGTGGCGGAGCAGACAAGCTCATCTTCGTCAGAACTGAACTTGGTAAGACAAACCTTTATGGAATTTCTCCAGCATGGGCGGCACCATTTGCCGCACACGGATTAGCATCTGCTTGGTTGTCGCCGACATTTCTGGGCCGGTTGATGACTCGGAGGACATATCGTAAAAGTGGTGGTGAATAGTAGCTAGAACAGCGATGTTGTCAGTTCAACACATATCTGTCCAACAGTGTATAGTTTTCACTGGTCCAGAAGATTTACGCTCCAAAACCAGGTGCTCGGATCCAAGAACAGCCCAGATCTTTGAAAGATGGGATGGGAATTGGAGCGCGTGGGATGACGCGGGGTGGTTTCTTCCACTCACATTTGGTGTTCTTAAGCTCCGACACAACAACTTTGGAGTTCAATACGATTGATGAGGGATTGGGAGTTGAAAGGTATAGAGAGGGAAATGATAAGCTTGCCAGCAAATGAAGCGGGTTATTTGAGTTCTAACTGAATTCAAAGAAGTCTGATAACTCGGTAGCTGATCAATGAAAGGCGAAAACCCCATGTTCTTTGGGTGTAGCTGGTAGCTGCCCTGTTGGAACTGTCGCTCATGATGTCACTGACGCGACCCCACCAAGCCTCATCATCCCAACTGCTTGTCACCAGTCTTTTGGCTCAGTCCAAAACAACCAAATCAATCGCACATACTATGTACTGTGATCCGCAAATACAGCTTAGCTAATTGTTTACTACTGAATTGGTTCTTCCAAGTAGAGTGGCTCAATGATTTGGAAGGCAGCTGAAAGTAATCCTGCAATTATCTCGCTAGTCAAAACACATTAGAACATCCACCGCAAAAAAAGCAAACAAAAAGATGCACGACGTGAACCTTTGCACAAGCCTTTCCATTGATTATAGAATTCATAACCTCGTATTTTCAGTGCCTGACAAAGGGAATAGAGTACTTGATTGAGACTTGCTCTAATTTACAGTAGGTTCGGCTAGAGAATCTCCCCTTCTCACGCGTCCATTCCTCAGTCCAGCACCCGACGGAGACGGAACACCTTCCTCTAGAAACACGGAACTGCGCGGGTAAAGATGACGAACCCACTGCTCGTTCTCAAGAACCACGGGGAATTAATTCAATTTATATGCATTTAACCGAGGAAGCTCTTGGTGAAGGTCTGAATAACATCACGGAGCTTAGCCTCGAGGTCCTTGCTAATGGCACCCTCCTTGTCGATGGTGGCCATGATCTCAGGCTCGTTGGTCTTGAGGTGGGCGAGGAAGTCAGCCTCCCACTGGAGGATCTTGGCAACGGGGACGGTGTCGAGGAAACCGTTGACACCGGCGAAGATGAGGGGAACCATCTCGTTGACGGCCATGGGGGAGTACTGCTTCTGCTTGAGGAGCTCGGTCAACTGTAGATAGACTTGTCAGCTCTGCACCAAAAAAATGGGGAGTTCAGCTTGTTTGCACTTACACGCTCACCACGGTTGAGGGTCTGCTTGGTAGCAGCATCAAGATCGGAACCGAACTGGGCGAAGGCAGCGACCTCACGGTACTGGGCCAAGAAGAGCTTGAGCGAACCAGCGACTTGCTTCATGGCCTTGAGCTGGGCAGCGGAACCGACACGAGAGACGGAAAGACCGACGTTGATGGCGGGACGGACACCCTTGTAGAAGAGCTCAGACTCCAAGAAGATCTGACCATCAGTGATGGAAATGACGTTGGTGGGAATGTAAGCGGACACATCACCACCCTGGGTCTCAATGACGGGAAGGGCAGTCATGGAACCACCGCCGTGGGTCTTGTTCATCTTGGCGGCACGCTCGAGAAGACGAGAGTGGAGGTAGAAGACATCACCGGGGTAAGCCTCACGACCGGGGGGACGACGGAGAAGAAGGGACATCTGACGGTAGGCAACGGCCTGCTTGGTAAGATCGTCAAAGATGACAAGGGAGTGCTTGCCGTTGTCTCTGAAGTATTCACCGACACACGCCTGTGTTTAGAAGCTTCTGGTTAGCCAGTCTGGTCTGATTGGTTTCAAACGGGCCGGGGGCAGGAATCCGAGAAGAGGTGTGATGAGGTCTGATGATGTTTGAAAGATGGGTGGAAAAGTTCAACAGGGAGGTGCAAAAGTGTTGAAGGGGTCGTGCATATATCTGGGAAGGGTATGACGATGAATGGAAGGGGTTTCCAGTTATTTGGAAGACATCCTCCCATATATAGAAAAGGCGTCAAACGAAAATCTGGAGGTGTTCGAGCGGCAACTGAAGGGGTCTGCTGATAACTGGAGGGGACAAGATCCGGCAGCCACTTACGCCAGTGAAAGGAGCGAGGTACTGGAGAGGAGCGGCCTCGGAGGCGGTGGCAGCGACGACGATGGAGTACTTCATGGCGTCGTTCTCCTCAAGGGTCTTGACGAGCTGAGCGACGGTGGAACGCTTCTGACCGACGGCAACGTAGACGCAGTAGAGCTTCTTGTCCTCGTCGGAACCGCTGTTCCAGCGCTTCTGGTTGAGAATGGCATCGAGAGCGACGGCAGTCTTGCCGGTCTGACGATCACCAATGATCAACTCACGCTGACCACGGCCAATGGGAACCATGGCGTCGACGGACTTGAGACCGGTCTGGACGGGCTGGTTGACGGACTGACGGGGAAGAATGCCGGGGGCCTTGAGCTGGGCACGACGCTTCTCCTTGCAGTTGATGGGGCCCTTGCCATCGATGGGGTTACCGAGGGCATCGATGACACGGCCGAGAAGCTCGGGACCGACGGGGACATCGACAATTTCACCGGTACGCTTGACAGTCTCGCCCTCCTTGACAAGACGATCGGAACCGAAAAGCACAACACCGACCTGGCCGGCCTCGAGGTTCATGCACATACCCTTGACGCCGGAGGCGAACCTGGGGGCAAAGGGTCAGATTTGGGGCAAAAGAGCATCCGTTAGGTTAGGGACTGGAACATACTCGACAAGCTCCTCAGCCTGAACGTTGGCCATGCCGTGAACACGGGCGATACCATCACTATACGAGACGACATGTCAGCATCCACAAATTCACGTCATGGTCTCGCTAACCACAGGAGCAACACCGGCAGCAGCAGCATCATCATTGTCGCGAACATCCAGCTTCGACGCATCTCGTCGTGGGTACGGTCGGGATCGCAGTCGTGGTAGTCGTTCTCGTTGTCGTTGTTCTTGTTGCTCCTCTTGTTGTCGTCGTTGTCGTCATTGTTGTCGTCGTGTCGTGATATGCTTGCTGAGCTTCTTTCGTGATACCGCGTTGACCCTGATGCTCTCTGCCGTTCCCCCTCTTTGCCAAGAACCGCAACCATAACCCAGAAAAACGTACCCGACGGAGAGGACGCGACCGGTCTCAGCGAGGTTGGACTCCTCCTGGACACCGCGGATTCTCTGCTCGAGGATGGAAGAGACCTCGGTGGGAGTGGCCTTGGCGTCGGCGTAGGTGCGGGCCTGGACGGCGGAAACTACAGGTGCGGCATTTCGCTGCTGTCGAGTTAGCCCTAGCCGAACTCCGAGAGGCATGCTTCACGACACATGGACAGCTCCCCCAACAAGCCCATCGACATCCTCAAGGCCATGCGCCATGATGACAAAGCTCCAAGCGCTCCGGGACCCGATGAGGTTGAATAGAAGAGGCGGCCGGTGATGTTGAAGGTGGATCAGGTGTGCGGAGTTAACCTACCGCGGCGACTCTGCCAGTGGCAGAGAAGGCGCCGACGGCGCGAGTGCTCTGACGGAGGGCGTTCCGGAACATGTTGTGGAGGTGTCTGTTCGTGACGAGCAGAAGGAATGCAATCGCAACACAATTGCAATTGCGTGGAGGGGAGATGTAGCGGGAGGTTGATGGAGGTTTGGAGAGCCCGGCGTGAGGAAAATTGTCGAGTGGCCTTGGTTCGAAGGGAAAAGGTGGGGCAAAGCTTGGACAACACCAATCAGCAATCGGCTGAGAATTTTGCTCTCTACCAGAATCCCGAGCAACTCCACCAACCACGCCTCCAAAATCGAGAGGTTTCTGAGGTTACTACAAAAAGGCAGCGCATCCGCATTTCACCCACCTTCACCCACCATCAATCTCCCCTCCCCGCCTCGAGCCTTGGTTCCGAGCCGAACGATCGAAGGCATTGATTGCTACATCCCATGTCCAGTTCCCCATTCTGACTGCAGCCGGCCCCGGAGCTCCGTGATGACAGCAGTCTACCTACCGTTTCCTCCATCCTGCTCCTCTGCCCCGACCTCAGCAAAGGTCTCTCAGGTCTCCAGCTCTGAGCGCCTTGCTCCCGTCCGGCGGCGGGCTGCATCCTTCAGGTGTCAAGCTCTGGCGGCCAGAAGTCTGCCCAGCTGCCCAATAATGTAATCCGTCGCCCGGGTAATCCCGGAGAAATGTCGCAACCTACCAGAAGCTCTGGCCGCCCCCGGTTTGGCGTTTGGCACCTCACTTCAGTTTCAGGCCAGCTCTCGGGTTTCACGCTGGTAGCTCATTGTAGCTTCAGCTGCTGGAGTGGTGCACGGGCTGCACACCCGATTGTTATTTTAGGTCGAATAGGATTCCCAACGTCTTCCCCAGGTTTTGTGCGCCATCACTATGTACTTCACGATAGCATCATCTAGGAACGCAATATCCAGTCTTGCATTTTGTCAATGGAGCTCCATTCAATATCCGGAGAGTTACAGTTTGAGCAGCACTTCGCATCGTATCGCAAATGAATGGTGTCTGCCAGCTGGCGGCTACATACCTCCCCTCACCATTCAACCGACGCCATCTCATTTTGACTGGCTGCTGACTGCCAACGTTTGAACTTGTTAAGGCGCTTCTGTGGCATCTCCACACAATGACTTGTACCCGGTCCCGGGCCGTTCCCAAATATCACCAAACCTCTTTCCCTCGGACTCCGCCCCCACGTCTGAACGAAACCAACCAGACCAGACTAGCTAACAAGAAGCTTCAAACGCTGTCTGTCGGTGACTGCTATCCGAAGCTATGAGCTAAATATTTAAATGCCTGCAACAGGTGCTTACTATAGCAAGCAATTGCCCGAACCAGTCTTTCGAGTCGCCGTGAGGTTCTGTGTCAACTTGCGTTTCTGGATATCTGAGCGATACTCCCACGCGCATCTTGAGACAACGCAGAGCCTAGGAGAAACTGCTTGGAAGGCCGACAGACACTCTGGTAGATTTTTCACCTCTCCCGATTCATGCTCACGTTTGTGATTCTGATTACTTCGAGGTTGTTTCGAGATCAACCCTAGTACCGAGTGATCAATCCAACTTCTTCAGGAACAGAGGTTTCAAGGGAGGAAGGCGGCTTGTGTTTGCTCGACGATTCGTCTCGCTGAAGCCAATTCGCCTCTATCCCCATAATCAGGGTTAGGGTTACCACAG